GTAAAAAGGAACACATTGATATTTGAAATTGTAAAAAATTAACATGTTAGTATCTTTTAGTAGTCATCATGCAAATATTCCTGAAAAATATCATGAAAATATTTCTAGAAATATGTCCCGATAACTAATAGAAGATATTATGGTGCTAAGGATATAAAAATGTCTCTTCAATAGGGTTATTTAAGTTCCATTTACCCTTAAAAACGCAACCGGATGTTTTGAGAACCGGAGCCAGTGTAGAATCCGACCCGCTGGCTTCCTGGTTATCTTGTCCCTTAACAACGCTTCAAGTTAAACAGCTCCAGCAAAGTGAGAACTCCCGCAGAAATCAAAGTGGTTTAAGAATCAAATAAAGTTTAAAAATTAGATCGGAGGTAGCCATTCCGCCCTCGGCTCTCTTTTTCCCTCTCCACCAATAATCCCCACGGTTTTGTATCCCAAACCCTAGAATCCCCCAAATTCAAAATCCTCCAAAATCTCTCGTATTCTCGGTTACTAGTTTCCTGATGGTTTGAAACTCGAGGTGAAATGGCGAGCGACTTTCCGATGAGCGCTGAACTGGAACAGATCGCCGGCGAGATCGCCGACATATTCCGAGCGCTTTCGTGAGATTTCTGCGCCTCTTTTGTTTGATTTTTTTTATTTCCAAAATTTCAAATTTTAAGGGTTTAGAGCGATTTGTATTACACATATGATGCGTAAAGATGAAAATTTGTATCTTTTTGATGAATGTTTCGAAGAATTATTATTGAAACCTTCAGTGAGTTTGATGAAGTCAGTGGTTAAATGAATCATTTTTTTTCAAAATGTTGATAATAGTGTATTGTAGTGGGTTTTAGTCACACATTGCTTGGGAGAACAAACATCACACTCCTCTACTTGTATAAATATATGTGCACACTCAATATTTAACTCAAGGGAAATTTACCCAAGATTCTCTCTCTCTTACTTTAACATGGTATCAGAGCTAGGGCTATTTCCCTTGCAATAAAAATTTTAACGCTTCTGTGTTTTTTTACCAAATCTTGACTTTATTGCTTTGCAGCCGTTTAATATTTTTTTTTTGGCGTTCATCTGCCAGATATTTTGGCATTGCCGCTTTGCGGCCTCTTAACGCGTTTCGCGTTCTCGTTTAACCTTCGGGTTCTATTTTAAACCTTCGGGTTTCATTCTAACCTTCGGGTTCTATTTTAACGGCATTACCGTTTCAAGATTGTCTCTCGGTCTCAAATTAACGGTATCGTCGTTTCAAGCCGTCTCTCGGCCTCAAACGAAAGGCATTGTCGTTTCGCAGTCAGTAACGGCATCTCGACGTCTTAATGTCTCAACATTGCTGTTATGGCTCCTTCAGAGAAGATTCTCAAACCATCTTTGCCCCTCAATGATCAAAGTGATTGGGCAGGGTGGTCCACCATTGTCACCAATGCCTTGCGTGACGCTGGTTTGCTTGATCATCTCACCAGTACGAGACCAGTTCCACCGTCCATCAGCACTATTGCTTCATCTAGTACTATTGTCTCTGACAGTGGTGATGTTGATCTTCAGACTGCTCGTGCTCTCTATGTCAAGAAGAGTTCAGAGTGGCAATTACAGGAATTTCGTGTCATGGATTATCTCACTCGCTGTGTTGGCTCTGGTCTCACTGTCGAGATTGGCTCACTTTCCTCTGCTCGGGCCATGTGGACTCGTCTCACTGAGCGTTTCACTGAGTGCTCGGGTGCACGGGAGGCATATCTTCTGTAACGCATTGCTCTACAATGCAAAGATAGTTCATCTCTGCAGTCCCATTTTGGACAAATACAAGTTTTTTAGACAGAGTTACGCTCTATACTTCCTGGACGTAATTCCACATATGAAGACTGACTAGCCTGGTACGAAAGGCATGAGATGCATCAACTATTTCAGTCACTTCCTGAATATTCAACTATGGCTGATCAACTACTTCATCGGTCTCAATTTTCGACTTTGGCCTCAGTTATGGGAGCTCTCACTGCTTATGAGACTCGGCAATAGATAGCACGACTCAATTTGTCAACAAACACTCCTACCTCTTCACTCGAGACTGTTTTGTCTGTACATGTCACTGCTCCTGTTATGAATCATACTTCTCCACATGCTCCCTCTCCACAGCTCGATCTAAGTTCTCTTACAAATATTACAAGAAGGAAGGACACCGCATTGAGACATGCTTCAAGCTTCATCCTGAGTTACATTCCTCATGTACTGGTCGTGGTCGGCGACCCCCTCAGTCTCAACCCTCTCGTACACCAGGATTGTTGGCCAATGCTATACCTTCTACTACTTCAGACTACAATTCAAGCTATCGAAAGTCTTCGTCGTCAACTTGATGCTTTTCAACATATCACCTCTACATCCGCTGCACAACTCTCTGTTATGCATTTTGCTGGTTCTTCAGCTAATCCTTCGGTCTCTGGTATGAATGATCTCTGGATTTTTGACTCTGGTTGTTCCTTTCATATGACTTGTAATGCCTCACTTTTATCCTCTGTCTTTACTTCATCCTCTCTTCCTCCTATCTACACAGCTGCTGGACAACCATTGTCCATTACTCAGTATGGCTTTATTACCCCCACAAAATAATCCATCTGATCATCTAACACTTGGTCCCGTCTATGTGGCTCCTCAGTTGTGCTTGAATTTAATTTCTATTAGCTCTTTATGCATGGCAGGTCTGTTTGTCTTATTTTCTTCTGATACTTGTATTGTGCAGGATCCACAGATGGACAAGACGGTTGGGGCGGGTCGTAGGAGGTACAAACTGTATTTTCTGGAATATCTTCACCTTCTAGAGTCCATACGTCCACGTTCTCTTGTTGCTTCTCTTTGTTCTTCAAAACCCTCTACCTCGCTTCCTGCCAATTTATGGCATAGACGAATTGGTCATGTGTCTAATAAAAGGCTGGAGAGTCTTATTCAGTCTGGAGTACTTGGTCCTGTATCATCTAGTTCTAGTATTGAGTCATGCACTGGTTACAAATTGGCTAAATTCACTGCTTTATCATTTAAAATGAGTACGTCCGTATCCACTTCCTTATTTGATTTAGTACATTCTGATATTTGGGGGCCAGCTCATTTGCCTTCTTCATCTGGCTACTTATATTATGTTAGCTTTATCGACGATTTCTATCGTTTTACATGGGTTTACCTACTTAAGAATTGCTCTGACGTACTTACTGCTTATCAAGCCTTCACTGCTATGATTTTCACTCAATGACAATCTCGTATTAAAGTTTTTTATTCTGATTGTGCCAAAAAGTACCTATCCTCTACCATGTGCTCTATCATGTCCTTTCGTGGGACTATCTTTCAACAGTCATGTTCCTACACTCATGAGCAAAATGGTGTTGCTGAACGCAAACATCGTTATATCCTCGATACTGCTCGATCAATGCTCATTTCTTACTCTGTTCCTCGTCGTTTCTGGGCTGAGGCTATTCTCACCGCGACTTATGCCATTAATATCACTCCATCTAGCTCTCTTTTCGGTGCTACTCCTTATAGTCGTGTTTATACTCATCCTCCCCGTTATGACCTAGTTCGCGTTTTTGGTTGTCGATGTTTTGTTCTTCTGCCATCTCATGAACGTGATAAATTGTCTCCCAGAGCTGTTTCTTGTGTTTATTTAGGAATTAGTTCAGAACATCGAGGTTATCGTTGTTATGATCCCGCAACTCGTCGAGTTCATATATCTCGTCATGTTCAGTTCGAAGAGGATTCTCCATATTATTCTGCTTCTGATGACTTTAATTTCCTCCACTCTACTGATCATGCTTCCCCGTCAACTGCATCACCCACTTCTTCACCTCAATTTTCTTTTCTAGATCTCCCTGACATCTCTTCCTCTCCCTCTGTTGACTCTTCCTCGTCCGAGTCTTCTCTTACACCATCTAATCCATATCCCGTGGACACAACTCTCACTCCAGAAAATACTGTTGATCTCCACACACCTGCGACAGCATCTCTCCCGCCTGAGGTTCCTCTTGCTCTTCGTCGAGGCAAACGCCCACATGTCATGCCTGTTCGGTATGCTTCTGTTACTTCTTATTCACCCATCTTTCATAACTTTCTTGCTGCCATTCATACTATTGTTGAGCCAAAGTACTATTGTTGAGCCAAAGTCCTTCCAAGAGGCAGTTTAAATACCAGAGTGGCGACAGACTATGGCTGAGGAATTTCAAGCCTTTCAGCAAACTCATACCTGAGATGTTGTTCCCTGTCCTCCTGGGATCTCTCTTGTTGGCAGTAAATGGGTTTATAAGGTCAAATTTCTTCCTGATGGTACCATTGAACATCGAAAAGCTCGTTTGGTAGCTCGAGGTTTTACTCAGCAACAATGTATTGATTATGAGGAGACCTTTGCTCCTGTTGCTCAGATGCCCACTGTTCGTACTCTCATTGCGGTCGTTGCTGCTCATCGTTAGCCCTTATACCAGATGGATGTCAAAAATGCTTTTCTTCATGGCTCTTTATCAGAGATCGTATATATGCAACCACCTCCAGGGTCAAATATTCCTCCGGGACATGTATGTCTCCTTCGTCGTGCGGTTTATGGTCTCAAGCAGGCACCTCGCGTTTGGTTTGAGTGTTTTCGCGATGTCGTGCTCAAAGCAGGGTTTATAGAAAGTCATCAAGATGCTTCTCTATTTGTTCGCACTACATCGCATGGTAGAGTTTTATTACTCATCTATGTAGATGATATGATCATTACAGGTGATGATATGACAGGTATACAATACGCAAAATCTCAGTTGCAACAACAGTTTCACATGAAAGATCTTGGATCTCTTCGGTATTTTCTTGGTCTAGAAATTTCTTAAGGCCCGCGAGGTGTATTACTGTCTCAACAGAAGTATCTCTCAGATATTCTAAATCAAGCTGAGCTAACTGACAATACAACTGTCGATACTCCACTCCAGCAGAATGTCAAAATTTGCTCTACTGACGGTGAGCCTCTATCTGATCCTACCCGATATCGACATCTTGTTGGTCAGTTGGTCTATTTGTGCATCTCTCGACCAGATATCTCTCATGTTGTTGGTATTGTCAGTCAATTTGTTAGTGCCCCACGTTCTGTACACTATGTTATCTTATTACGGATTCTTTGGTACCTCCGGGGTACTAGCACTCGCTTTTTTTTGTTTCCTGCTACATCTAAATTAGAGCTTTGTGCATATTCTGATACTGATTGGGTTGGTGATCCAACTACCAGAAAGTCTATCACATGTTATTGTATATTTCTTGGTGATTCCCTTATTTCCTGACGAAGTAAGAAACAAGATGTTATTGTTCTTTCCAGTACTGAGGCAGAGTATCGTGCAATGTCCACAACAGCTAAAGAGATTATTCATCTTCGTCGCCTTCTCTGTGATTTCGGCCAAGGTTGTTGATCGCGGATCGCGGCGCGTCGCGGCGAGGTACCGCTAAGGCTATTGCGCGCTATTGCGGCGAAATAGCGGCAAATAGCGCACAGTCAAATAGCGGTCAATATAAATATATGTAAATATTCTAAATAACAAGAAAAATTATATAAAAAATACCATGAAAAATAAATACCATGAAAATGAAAAATTATGTAAATGACCGAGACAAGCTAATTTACTCCATCATATTTGAGAGTTGGCTCTTCATCTTTGTCTTATGCATATGGATCTTCATCAATAGCTCCCCAGCAAGACAGGAGCACAAAATCACCAAGACAAGCTAATTTAATTAAATATAGTACAAACTCCACAATCACCAGAACAATCTAAACCCCTAAGTTTAATATCAAATAACAAAAGTATAATTCCAACAAGACAATTGTATTGTTTAATTAACCAACAATAATTATCAACTAACCAACAATAATTGCAACCTAAAACAAGACTGTTAAGGAAAAAATAAGCATAAACCTAATTTTATCTCAAAAGGGACTTTTTTTGACCGGAAGCACAAATCAACAAGAAAACACTAGAAATTTCTCAAGGCCCGCGGGGTGTATTACTGTCTCAACAGAAGTATCTCTCAGATATTCTAAATCAAGCTGAGTTAACTGATAATACAACTGTCGATACTCCACTCCAGCAGAATGTCAAACTTTGCTCTACTGACGGTGAGCCTCTATCTGATCCTACCCGATATCGACATCTTGTTGGTCAGTTGGTCTATTTGTGCATCTCTCGACCAGATATCTCTCATGCTGTTGGTATTGTCAGTCAATTTGTTAGTGCCCCACGTTCTGTACACTATGCTGTCTTATTACGGATTCTTCGGTACCTCCGGGGTACTAGCACTCGCTCACTTTTGTTTCCTGCTACATCTAAGTTAGAGCTTTGTGCATATTCTGATGCTGATTGGGCTGGTGATCCAACTACCAGAAAGTCTACCACAGGTTATTGTATATTTCTTGGTGATTCCCTTATTTCCTGGCGAAGTAAGAAACAAGATGTTATTGCTCTTTCCAGTACTGAGGCAGAGTATCGTGCAATGTCCACAACAGCTAAAGAGATTATTCATCTTCGTCGCCTTCTCAGTGATTTCGGTATTTCTGTTACGACTCCTACTCCTCTCTACTGTGATAATAAGAGTGCCATCCAGATTGCTAATAATCCAGTATTTTATGAAAGGACCAAACATATTGAGATCGACACTCATTTTGTCCGTCACCAAGTTATCAAGGACAAGACAATTCTACTTCCTCATGTTTCATACTGCTGACAAGCTTGTAGATTTCTTCATAAATGCCTTACCTGTTCATCGGTTTCAGTTTCTTGTACGCAAACTCACTTTGTTTGATCCAACATGAGTTTGAAGGGGGTTGTTGATAATAGTGTATTGTAGTGGGTTTTAGTCCCACATTGCTTGGGAGAACAAACCTCACACTCCTCTACTTGTATAAATATATGTGCACACTCAATATTCAACTCAAGGGAAATTTACCCAAGATTCTCTCTCTTACTTTAACACAAAACAAACAAATTCATCTTAATTTTTAGGTATGGATGAATCAATAATTCTGCTCCTTCCGACTTTAATTGTATTTATATTAGTAACTAGATTGTATATATTAACATCACTTTTTTTTTGCTACCTTGAAATCAAGTTCATTTTTGGATCAGTCTTGACCGTACATGCAGACCTTAGCTCAAATGATTCTCCTTCACATTCATTAGGCTGCTCACACAACTGTGCACTGACGACCTTGTATTTGATTCTATTCATCCATCTGAATGTTATTGGTTCAGCCATGTGCAGAGTCTGTTGGAAGTCATAGATAAAAGGACCAACTTTAGATGTTGACAAGATTAGTATTGTTGATTGCTAGAAGTGTAAAGCAGAAACAAAAACCTTTCGTGCAAATTTTTTTGGTTGATTAACTTAAATCCAGTGTTCAGACATACTATATAGTTCTAATTCGGACACATCCAGTTACCGGACATTCTATCTTTTAGTTTCCTGAATTCCAACAAATAAAGCAAGCAGATGTCAAATTTTTCCTCTAACTTCATGGATATCCTAAGCAAATGCCCTAGAAACACTTCTGGGCTTCCCAATCCCCACAATATCATTCTTAATATTGTCATTGTTATATATGGTAGCCATAGGGAAGAGTCATGTACTGTTTTAGAGGAATTACTGATAAACATAGTTAAACGACTAAGTACGTACTTGAAACATTTAATTGATTGGCCTGTAATTGATTGGCCTCCTGTCCACTATGACATGTTTCTATTGTTAATGATTCATGTGCGAGCTCATGTTTTATTTAATCTTTTATTTGCTTGTGTATCAACTACTTCTTGAGAAATTTTGAATGTTATTGGAGTCATTTCCATGACTGGTAAAATGACAGGTGTACAGTGACAAATATTTCCTGCCTAGCTGGTCAGCAGGTTAAATTTATTTTTCGTGTAGAAGTCAACTTTTATACATGAAAAAAATTTGATGGTGAGCTTTTGAGTGATATGAATAAGTGGCTTAAGGACAGGTTATTGAGATATGGACTACAGGAGTTAATAGGGATGTATGAAATTTAACTTCAATTGCGTTAAGCATCTTTTCAAATAAATAGCTTTTCTTATGCATTATTAGTTTTCATGTTTTGCATGTCTGCTTATCTTGGAATTTACTCTTATCTGTGCCATACTGCAATGGCTGTGGTCAAATTTATGCTTCTATTCATGCTTGTTTTCCTTTCCCTAAAAATATTACATGATTAGAAAATGAGTAAATCACTTATTAGCACGACATATCGCTGATTATTCTGTCTTTCTCACCCGGTGTTGGATGTTTTTATAAAAAAATAATTTTGCTTGTTGGCCACAATTAATTTGCTTATTATCCATAAGCATGGTGTTACATATGTTGTGCAGTGTCATCCTATTCTGACATCACATAATGTTAATATGTATTTTGTTATTTTTGTCAGAAATGGATTTCAGAAATTGGATAAGATCAAAGATCCTAATAGACAGACTAAGCAGCTCGAGGAACTCACTGGCAAAATGAGGGAGTGTAAGAGGTGAGTCACATTTATATTTTTTTTCGTTCTAATTGTATGTAATAGGACTGCTATAGCTACATCGTCTCCAACCAACATTGGTTGCAGATTTTTCTTGTTATCCTAGGATGATACTAGTACCTGACTATTTTTGCCCCTTAAATTTCTTTACTTATTATCTATTACTTATAAAGTTCCTGATTCTTACAGTAGAAACCCATTGGCCATGTCATGTAGATGGAACACTTACCTGCTGTCTCTTTTACACAGGTTGATCAAAGAGTTTGATCGGCAAGTTAAAGACGAGGAGAGTCGAAATCCTCAAGAGATCAATAAGCAGCTCAATGAGAAGAAGCAGTCAATGGTTTGTTCTTTCTGTCTGTCTATTTGCATCTATTTGTAGTATCACTGTTCCTATTTTACATTTTTCACTTTTGTTGCTGCAGATCAAAGAGCTGAACTCATATGTAGCCTTGAGGAAAACGTAAGTTTTGTCATTGAAAGAGCACAGTTCCTCTGTTAGACTGTGATCTTTTTTCAATTAAAAAATGAGTTCATCTATTTTAGACTGTGATCTTTTTTTTATTAAAAGGAGTTCATCTATTTAATTCTGGGACTTACCTTATACAATTCCACAACCTCAAATTTGCCTATAGAAATATCCAGACATTTATGTCTGAATACTCTGTGAAACATAGTGAGCTATGCACCCAAACTAAAGAAAACCTTGGTTTTATGGAGGCCTGTGGAGTTTTTCACACATGTATTTCTTATTCTGAGATCAATGTCGATCTTTTTTTATTTGGTACATGTTTGTGAAACGTTTATTGGAAATTTTAGTTATTTACGCGACAATTTTTTTTTTAATTTTTTGAGAAGAATAAAAGTAGCTTTTCGATTTTTTGTATGTGGTAGCAGGCAATACATTTCGAACTGACAATTTATTTTCAGACTGATGAGAATTAATATCATTTATAACATGATTCATGATCTTTGGGGGGAATATTAAAGGTAGCAAATCAATTAATTTCTTTACAGATCCATTGGAAATGAAAAGGTTCATTAAAAGTCGGTACCTTTCGCACACATTCTCTTATCTAGCATTTTTAAAAATATTTTTAACTAATCATTATGCATTGATTTGGAGCTTACATTGAAGTTTCACTTTTATATTGCAGTAGCTGCCTTTGCCTTATTTAAAAAAAGTCACGTTAGAATCTTTCTTGATCTTCCTTGATGCCAAATAGCTGACAGTAGTAATCTTTTGATTTGCAGCTATACCAGCAGTCTTGGTAATAAAAGAGTAGAGCTCTTCGATATGGGTGTTGGAAGTAGTGACCCTGCACCAGAGGACAATGTACAAATGGCGTCAGGTGATACTCTTTATGCTTCTTACACATCAACAACAATAAAACTTATTTATGTATGTCAGCTACTGTTTCCTTATTTGTATATTTTTATTAAGGTTGTAAGGTCAGAACTCATCAAGGATTATATCGAAAGATTGTTAGGAATTAAAACTTGCAATAATTGGAAGGTAATCAATTGAATGTTTTGATATGCAACATCAAGCAGATGTGGATTTACTAAGGGTGTAAAACAAGGGTCACCTGAAGAAAAGGGCTTGGAATTAAATAAAACTTGGGTTGGTATCGTGGAAGTTGGAAAGACTGGGAACATTTACATCTTTGAAACTTCCATTGGTCTTTGAGGAGACAAAAGGTTAAGGAGGCTCGTGTAATCAAGTTGAGATGATGAAGGCCTATTTATACTTTTTCAACATGCAGTATGACGGTTTTCCCATGTAGTTCATGTAATTATTTTTGGTGAATTAATTCTAGTATTTAAAGTGAAGTCCTGCCGATATTATTAGATTGATTATAACATGTTGGTTCATCTCTCTTTTTTGAGAGCTAGAAGAGTTGATAAATAAATATAAAATGTATTGATGCATAGACGTAACTTAGAAATCAAGCAATCATCTGGTCTCAGGGAAATAAATGATTAAATTCTTAATCCCAAAGATAAAATGGCATTACGGAAACATGAAATGGGTTATAGGTCAATACCAGCTGTTCAAGCTTCATGTACTGATTGCATGGTTGTGTATGATTGGATACTTTGTTTTCTTCTGCTGATCATCGACCAATCTTATTTACAGGACCTGTTCATGTAAAAGCTTTGATGTGCCACTATGAAATAAATAACTATTTGAAGCTTCGAAATATGGGAACAGGAGGATATGCGAAAACTCCAAGTGGGACTATGAATATTTTTTTCTAAGGCCTTCTACTCAAGCCAATTGTCACAATGTTGCACCATTCGTACCCTGCAATTACCTGAACTATTAAATAATTGCATTATAATATAGGTTTTTCTTCGAACTTTAATCTGGAAAACTTCTAAAACACTGGTCAATAGTTGCTCGCAAGCATGCCTATATGCCATTATTGATAACAGACATTGAGACGATATTTAGATAGATGATATCAGTAACAAAGAATTAGTTTGAAAAATCAGATGAAGTTGACTCGGAAATGTTTTTCCATGTTGAAGGTAAATCTCATGTATGCATCACGAACTCGAGGGAGATGCTGGAATGAGGTGGGTGTGAGAGGCAGATAGCAATGCAAGAAATTGTAGCGATCAAATGTTAATTGGCTAAATTACCAAAATTGGTATTTAAAGTAGACTCTCTTTGGCAATAATGTATTTAAAGAACCTCCGACGACATTATCGTATTTTATTAAGGCCCTGCTTACCAATAAGACCTTTTTCTTGAAATTCTGGCAGGAAAATTTCTTCTAACTCCCTAACGTCTCAAAATTATTAAATTCACACCCAAGGTTATTCTTTTTTCATCTTTTTCTCCATCTCTTTCATTTAACTATTTTTAGAAGAACAAACCTATTGTTCAACAAATTTTTGACAGCAACATTAGTTACAAACCCGTTGCCGGAGCAGTTCAGCCTCCTCAGCTTGACCCCATATTAGCAGTAGGCAACGTCGCCCGTGTCGATCACATGAGGGAGCCTGATTCCCTTGGCCTTGAGCTCCTTCTCTAGCTGTCTGATTCCCTTGGTTAGTGCGCCGGATGGATGTGAAGAGTGAGGAGGGGAGGAGGGGACGGAGGGGAGGGAGCAGAGGGAAGGAGAGGGGAGGGCAGGATTGAGCGAGCGAGTGATGGCGGATTTGCTCGGGGTATAGGCGGGGATCATGGTGGGGATGGGAGTGGCGGAGGAGGAGGGGAGGGCGGGGAGAGGGATGGAGTTGGAGGGGGAGGCGGAGGAGGTGAGGAGAGGGGAAGGGGAGAGGAGGAGGAAGAGGAGGAGAGGGAGGGGATGTGTTTTTTTTGATAAATTTGGGTATAGATTTAATAATTTTGGGAGGTAAGGGGGTGAAAACAAATTTTCCTGTTGGAATTTTAAGAAATAGTGTCTTATCGGTAAATAGAGTCGCAATAAAATAGTGTAATGTCATCGGAGGCTTTTTAAATACCTTATTGGCCAATAGGTTCTAATTTAATTACCAATTTGGTAATTTAGCCATTTTTAATTAGCTCTACTTCCAAAGTGTTATTAGCTAAAGTAATCTGCTTAGCTTGTGATTAGTATAGATGTTATTAAAAAAAAGATTAAACATGACTTTTTATTGACATGGAAAAAGAGCATAGGTGAACATCTTGAAATTAGCACTGCTTAGTGTGTACTTAGGACTTGGGCATTACATTTAGTTACATCATTAAAAAAACATCTTTGATGTTGTGCCCTGTGCAGGAGCTTGTCATAGATGTAGATGTCTTGGTGATATCCTGTCAATCAAATTCTCATCTGTGTTCACTTTATTTTAGGTAAAGTTTACCATATAATGTACTGTATGGAGGCGGTGGATAAGTTGGTCGTAGAAACTTTGAGAGGGTGCCTTTGGGTATTGAGAATCCCAATTATTTTATGGTTATCATCATTACCGGGCTTTCATAAAGGATGATAATCTTGTGAATATATATAGAGTTTTGCAGGCATGTGATTGGCATCATAGAATCACATTTGATGCGTATCTGGTGAAACATAAAAGTTTAAGATGATGGACGAGGCCATTCAGGTAAAAATTGCTCAGCTGGATCATTTACTGCAGAATTGCAGAATTATGCTTGACATCATACTCTCACGTAGAGGAACTCCACATTTAGAATTTAAATTTGTGAGGCTGCACTCAGTCTGATAGAGAATCATGCCCTTGAATTGACAAGAATGCTTTGAGGGGACCATCTGACCTGGTGATATGAATGAATGGAAAAGGGATCTTTTTCCTTGAACATGAGCAAAGAACTGTGTATCATGGCTATGTTCACTGTTCACCAGAGAAACTTTGTACTTGGTTCATCAAAGGAAAGGGTTTCAAGACGATCCTCTTTTTCTCAAATTTCTAATATTCTGCTTCACATTTAGTAAGTGTAATTAAGATGCAATATCATGCATTTTCATGCTGTCACTAATCTGCCTTGTGTTCTTTAAAATTAAAATAATTTGGTGTTCCTACTTCCCTTGATTAATGTAATACATTTTTTCCTTCAAATTTCCATTCACTAGTCCATGGAATTGTTATGAACATTGCTGTACGTTGGAGAATAAAAATGCTTCGGTGATCATAAAGAGTGTTATCATCTCCGTGTTTTTTTTAAAGTTTTGAGCTCTTTTTGTGAAGTGATCCCTATTGACAAGCTGAAGGGGTATTTAACAACTTAAGAAATTGATTTTGGATTTTTCCTTGGGTGCATGTTAAATACTGTTCTCCTACAGCAATGTCTAATCAAGAACTTGTAAATGCTGGAATGAAGACAATGGATGAGACTGACCAAGCTATCGCGCGTTCAAAAATGGTGTACTGCTAACCTCGTATAATTTCATTATGCAATCCCCTTCCTTTGTTCTAACATGAACGAATTGTTAGGTCGTTGAGCAAACTGTTGAAGTAGGAACTCAAACTACTGCAACACTGAAGGGCCAAGTAAGTGGAAACTATCATATCTGATTTACTATCTGGAGATGTAGAACTCTCCTTAACCCATGTTACTTTGCTGGAAAACTTCAGTCCTTGTATTATGAACTTGTGGTCAAAAGTTTACTTCATTAGTTCATCCTGCCCTGGCTAAGGGCCTTTCTTTAACAAATGGAACCCTGAATGTACTTGGTTGGGTTGAATTAGGCTTTGGCTTGTAGTTTTTAGAAGTTTGTTCTTTATTGTTTCAAAGGTGCTATTAACTTATAAGAAACTGCTGAGAATTTGAGGGTTCAGCCATGCTTCTAGGTTTTAGTAGCCTCTGACAATCATATGAAATGCACTGATTGGAGTATAAGTTGAACTAGATAAATTTTAGCCCTTTGCTTGGTTAACTTAGTTCAATGTCACTGAAGCCTTGTTGATGATGGAGTGTCAAGGAAGTCTCTGTCTTTGCTTATTTTATTTCTAAACCTTCTAATCTTTAAACAAATGCAGACTGACCAAATGGGCCGCATTGTTAATGATCTGGATACAGTTCATTTTTCTATCAAAAAGGCCACCCAGCTTGTAAGGGAGATAGGAAGGCAGGTTGGTGAACCCTCAGCTTTTCTCCTGCAGTAATTCATCTTAGTTCTCTTGTCCAAATAAACTTTGCCGTGATAAGCCAAATTGCTTGTTTTCAGGTGGCATGTGATAAATTCATCATGTTCTTCTTGTTCATAATAGTTTGTGGTGTTATTGCAATCATTGTCGTGAAGGTCTGCTCTTGCTTCCTTGTGCACACACGCATACGTGCACACACATGCGCTTGTCCATCTATTCAAAGTTGAACTAGAGTTACTATCAGTAGTATTTAACATATCCATACTATTAATCCAAATTTAAGAAATCATCTTAAAATTTTGCACTAATAGATATGATCTGCTAAACATAGACTAGGAAAGAAAGAAAATTGGTTTCCATGTGATTTACCCATACATCAAACATCCTGAATATTGATCGCCTCAGAATTTAAAATCAATTTAACTTTTCATAACTTGATGCATGGTGAATCATTTCGAAACCATTTGATTCTTTTTTATTTCTAATATTATTTTGTTCAGCAAATCATATTTATCAATTTGGATTTTTAACACGCAAGTTGAATCCTTGTATTTGGGTTTTATAGTAGCGTTAACTCATCCATTTACGAATTCTGCTCTTACCACATTTCTATAACTTTAGATTGTACACCCAAATAACAAGAACATTAGAGATATACCCGGGTTGGCACCCCCAGCCCCAACATCAAGAAGGTTGCTGATTGCAGACGTGCCGAGAAGTTTCCAGTAGCATGTTCTCATCTGCGAAGATGTTGTATGTATCGTCCGTGCTT